TAGGCAAAGCAGTCTGATTAAATCCCCACTGTTGGGTGTTAACTGAGCTGGCCAGCACTAAGGAACCAACTCTCAGCAATATGACAGAATCTTCTGATTTGCTTCTCTTGCATGAATAAAACAGTGGCCTCTGTGTCACAGAATAAATTCACTCAACGAGGGTCTCACCCTGGGGTCTAGTCAACATCTCCCAGAACATTGCTTCTCTGCAGGTCACCAGGGCTGAGCCCAGCAGAAATACAGGAGCCCTTACAAAGCCAGATGAGCTTGCGCTGGGAACAGGCATTGAGAGTTAAGTTACCTCAAGTTTCATCTATAGTTTTGCCTCTTGTTAGCTGTGTCTTTTGGAGGTTAACCTTCCCGAGTCTTCGTTTCCTAGCCTGAACTTGGGGATGGTTATGTTCACTTTGCAGGGTTTTGTGAGAAACGAAAGATAACTGGCCTTCAATGATGGGTCAATACAGCTGACTAGCACCGGGTAAGCTTTCAAATGGTGAGAAGTACTAGTTCAAAATAAGTCATACATAAACACATTCACTTTAATAATTTAGCATAACATTTCAAAAGCCCTCATGGCCATTTTATACTGATGAATAATATCTATATGGCTGAAGAAAGTACAGTAGTATAAGAGACCATTCTCAGCAATGTACTTTTTTCATCATTGTAAATCCTCTCGGGAAATATTTTAAAGAGAGGATTATTTTAATTTTATTTGAATGTTTGTTCAAAATGTTTTGCTTGTGCTCCAACTTATTATATTCAAATTTTCAAATGAAATGTTATAATGAACATGTATTTCTACAAGGTGTTCCTTGACATTTTCCTGAAGGATTTGAAAATGTATGCTTATATTAAAATCTTACATGATTATTTATAGCAATTTTTTTCATAACTGCCCAAACATGGAAGCAACCAGGATGCCCTTCAATAGGTGAAAGGATGAAGAAACTGTGGTATATCCTGATAATGAGATGTTTGCTATGTTAAAAACAGTGAACTGTCGTGAAACTCATGAAAGGACAAGGAGAGAATTTAAATGCATATTACTAAATGAGAGAAGCCAGTTTGGAAGGGTTATGTGAATCTAAGTATACGATATGTAAGAAGCGAAACTATGGAAATAGCAAAAGGGGAAGTGGTCGTTAGGGGCTGGGCGAAGGCGTGTTGACTAGGTAGAATATAGAACATTCTTAGGACAGTAAAGATATTTGTATGATAACACGACAATGCATAAATGCCATCACCCAAACCCAGGGCACTAAGTGAGCCCTAATGAAAACAGTGGGCATTGGAGCAATTACGAAGCATCATTATATATGTTCACCAGTTGCAGCGAATGCTGTGCTCTGCTGAAGGATGTTGATAATGAGATTATCTGTCTATGGGAGCTGGGCTATGCGAGAGATCACTTTACGTCTTTAATTTTTCCTCTAAGTAGATTCAAAGTAGTGCTGTTTTAAGCCATCGTATGTATTTTTTGACACCAGAGAACACAATAATTCTTGGGTCAGTGCTTAAATTTGGTCTGGCATAGTATAAGGGTAATTAGAAAGGACAGATTGCACACTACCAAGGGCAGGGGAATTATTGTTATGTTTGATTCATCAATAATAAACTTTAACAAAACTGGGTCATTTTGGTAAAAGTACACATGAAAAATAAAACATGTAAGAAGGGTTCATTTGAGATATTTGATCTCACAGTGAAAAAATTCAATGTTTGTTTGAAGTCAATAAACCTGCTTATGGAGCAGATTTTGCAACTCATTAGACACTGGCTCTGGGCAGACCATGTAATTCCTGTGAGCCTCAGTTTCTTCATTTCAAAAAACAGTAGCCCCTACAAAGACAACTTTCAGATAATTTTTTCATAAAGGCAATGTTTCAAAGTGCATGAAAACATGCTAGAAATGTAAATTGTGGAACTGGTAAGCATGAAGATAATGATTGTTGTTGTTGATGATGAAGGACTTAATAAAATACTCCCAGGTATTTCTTCTGTTGACTCTAGTTTTAGGTTTCATACACACATAAAATGCCCAATTCAGACATTGTTCATTCCTGGTTAATAGTATTTGAAATCAATAATGTTTCATATACTTAAGAAATACATCAGTTTGAAATATGCCATAGCCACTTATGTAAAATATTTCTAGAATAAATATAAACATTAATGAGATGCAAATTTTTGACTGAGTGCAGTTTTTATAATTAATTACAAGCAATCAAGATTAATTAAGTGATATAACTACCGATGAAAATGATAACGGATCATTAGAGTGACTTGAAGAACATTTCTGTGCCTCAATATTCTTAAAGCAAGAATATGGCATCCGGAGTTTATATAGTATTTTCTCATGTTTTGTATCATTTTTATCCTCACTTCAATAATTTGAAGTAGTAATGCTTATTCTCCACTCATTAAATGAAGCCTATTGAAATCAAAACTAAGACAGTCATAACATAGTAGTTAAGGTAGCTGGTACTAAAATTAAGATCTGTTAATGTGAAGACCAGTGCTCTTGAAGACAAAGAAGTAAACATGTGTTGTAAGATGTCTGCATAATAAGGGACTAGGAATGAGTCCAGTTACCAAGAAAACTGTGGGTCGTAGGATGGATAAAGGATAACATCTGTGTTGCATTCAGAAAATGTAAAGGTCACGAACATGTATAGAAAGGAGCACTGTGGGAGTAAATTTATCAATTCAGCAATACTTATACATTTCAAGGGTGCTTTTGGTGTGAGATTCACAACTTTCTCATCTTCAAAATATTATTTTTCTTTTATACACAATTTGAATTCATTTCAGTTTCACATGGAATGTTCCCCTGAAACCAATAAGCATGGTCCACGTTACTGTCATAAACAATGTGCTTGACAATTACTCAAGGTAGAGACTCAATGTGACTGAAACACATTTATTTTAATGTCTTGAGTTAATTTTAATATCTGGCACTTTAGTCTAAATAGATAAAATCTGAACAGTAACAATGTATGAGTTACCTAATATTTTTGATGATAGCATTATCTATAATGTTCAACTCAGTCATTTGCCAATGCATACCCTAGCAGTGTACATCTTTAAAAAATGGACGTAGTAGCAACTGCTATGTTTTTCATGATAAAGGCATAGTTTTAAAAATCCATTCAATGTGAGATCTCGAGGCAATATGGAAACCTTTCGTTTATACTCTACTACAGGGGAACACTTCATTATTTCTCTGAATTGGATATCTGTCACTTGTCAAGGTTTGGCTATCTCTCAACAGCTACAGTATAATCTTCTTTGAACAAAACACAGCCCTTTGCAGAAGGGCAGTAAGGTTTATCTAACACCAATATTACAAAAGATATAAAACGTTTGAAGTCATTTAAGTAGTGTGTTTATATTTAAAAGAATAAAAATCAGTGAAGGCTAACCTGTTATAGCACCATGTGGGGTGTGAGACAATAACATTTTGCCATTTCTGCCAGAGTGTCAGTTTTCTCAGCTGGAAAGTAGGTGCATACACTTGTATTGCAGATGAACTGCAAGACTTCAAGATAATCTTCAGGTCGAGTACTAAATACCCAGTCCAATTCAGCGCCCATGAAAAATGAAGTCAAATAACTAACAATACTGTATGCTTCATTTGTGTTTGGTTGTTCATCTCCAAATTGACTGCCCATAACATTTTATTGCGACTACTCTTATTACAGGGCAATGTTTTAATAGAAAAACGCTAAAAATGTTACGAGACACAGTCCTTGCCCTTCCAAACCATTAGTACAACTCTCAGCTTCTGTTCTTTGCAACCGTCATCCAAGTTGGGCAGTCTGTGGAGCAGATCAGTCCAGGTCTGGGGAGAGAGACCCATTTATCTTCTGAGACTCGCTTTAAAATGGGCAGTATCCTCTGGGCTTCATAGACTCCCGCTATTAAGGGGCTCTGGTAAACTCAACACTAGCCCTTCCTTGGCTAGTGTTGACTCCAATGCTAGCAAAAGACAAAGAGCTTTAAGATTTTATTATTAACATCCCTCATTACTTCTAGCGAAATAAGAAGAAGAATTAAGAGTCGTCGTGCCTGCTGCGAGTTCAAACAGGCCCTGGCAGTCCAGGCAGGAGAAGAGAACGCGCTGCCCAGCCCCGGGCCTGTAAGGACCACGGACAGCTTCCAGACGGCTTTTGTGGAAAGGACCGTGGATCACTCTCCCGACCTGGGCGGCTCCGGGCCGCTGGGATCTGGTTCCCAGTGGGCCCGGAGCTGAGATCCGGCGGGTCTGCACCCCGGGTTTGCACAGCTCCGCCGCGCCCCTTCGCGCGGCGGCCGGGCACCTTCTGCGCCAATCCCCGGGGGTGGGGCAAACGTGCTCGCGAGGCGGGAAGTTCCCGAACTTCCAGAACCCGGGGCGGTGAAGGCAGAGCGGGCGGGGGCGGGGCGGGGGCGCGCGGG